ACAAGGCCAAGTGCCAGGTCTTGAACTCGGGTCACACCAAACCCAGGCAGTGCTCCAGGCATGCAGAAAAGTCTGGAAAGCTGCTGGGCAGAAAAGGACCTGGGGGTGCCAAACATGAGCCAGTGTGTGCCCAGGTGGGCAAGGGGCCAAGCAAAGCAGGACCAGGGCAGTGATTGTCCCCTGTGCTGGCCACTGGTGAGGCCCAACCTCAAATCCTGGGTCAGTTCTGGGCTCCTCATGACAGGAAAGACCCTGAGGGGCTGGAGTGTGTCCAGAGAAGGGAATGGAGCTCGGGAAGGGTCTGGCACACCAGGAGCAGCTGAGGGAGCTGAGGGCTCTCAGCCTGTAGAAAAGGAGCTCAGGGGTGGCACAGTCATCCTGCATGTGACAGGAAATGGAAAACTACCAACCCAAATGCTGGATTTGATACTAGGTAAATAAATCCCCATGACCAAAGGAGAGGACCCCATGATAAAGTTGTCTGCACAGGCCCCAGAGACACACATGCTGAGCAACAGTGAGAAATTCCAGACTTCCTGCAGCCAACTCCATCTCCACCTGTTCGCCCACCGCACAAAAGTGACAAATCTTCATGTTATCCAAACACATCCCAAACCAGTGATTGCTTTTCAAAGCAGGAAAGAAGATGCTGTGAAAACATTTTCAGGTTTATTTTAAACAGGCTTTAGCTATCAGCCAGCACCTTTTGGTTTGCCCTTGTTTGCCATAGACTTATTTTTCTTTAGTTTTCCCTTTTTCTTTTCCTTATTTCAAAGGAAGTAAAAAAAGGCCTGCAGCCTCACAGCATCCCTGGAGCTTGGGTACCACCACCAGAATCTGTGCAAGAAGCCCAGATTTATCTGCCTGAGGCAAAACATACAGCCAGCCTCACTAGGGCTTGGTGGGCTCATTTCTTTGTCATGAAATCCAAAAAAGCACCCCAACCCTGCAAATACCATGCCTGTACCAATACCTACCTGGTTTACTGCTGGAGCTCTGCTCCTGGTGCAGAAGATGAAATGGGAAATGCAGCTTCATGGAAAAGGCTTTTTCCTTGTGCTTCAGAGGCAATTCCCTGGAAAGCTGCAAGTTACTGGTGGACACTTCTGTGAGCTGAGCTGAACAGAGGCAACACAGGACAAGACTGTCCCACCCACAGTAAACCCTGACAGGGAGTAAAGGGTCCCATGTCATACCAGTTGTGCTCACAAATCTCTGATTCACCCTATAGGAGCCACTGAGCTCCAGTTCCTGTCACATAGCAATCCTGGAAAACTGAGCAGACCTTACCTTCCACCAGGATCCAACCCCAGACAGTCATGGCTGAATCAGCATTCATTACCTCACCCTCTGCTGGCTCAAGAGACTCCAGCTCTGAAGCAGGGCTAAATGCCTCCAGGGATCTGGACAAGCTGTGGTTGCCCCATTCCTGGAAGTGTTCAAGGCCAGGCTGGACAAGAGAAACCTGGTCTAGTGGAAGGTATTCCTGTCCCTGGCAGAGAATTGGAACTAAATTATCTTTAAGGTTTCTTCAAACCCAAACAATTTTAGGGTTCTATGATCTGCCCTAACAACGTCCTCAGTTCCTGAGTATCCCCTGCCATGAACAGTGACTTCACCAGCCACCTACATATCCCAGCACTGCCACCACCAGCAATGAGCCAGGGACGCTGTGCTCTAGAGTGGGCTGCCAACATCTCTTAAAGCTACAAGTTGGATAAAAGCAGAGAACAATCACACAGCCCCATCACAGCCCCCCCAGCCCATCGCTCTGCTCTCCTGCCTCTGCCTGCTCTGCTTTCCAGAAAACAAAGTGGCTTCTCTGCAGCAGAACCACTCAGACATGGCCAGATCTCAGAGCTCACCAGGCTCACAGGAACCAAACCTCTTGGCTGCCAGGATGATTCTGCAGCAGTTTCTGAAAGTGATGCCCAGTTCAGACTCTCCACAAGGAAGGGAAGAAGCTAGAGCAGGTTTCCTAGACAAGCCCTTTTCATGCTCTAAGTTCCCACATATATCCAAGCATCTTCCATGGACTCAGCACAATCCTGCACCTCTGCAGCACACACAGGCTGGAAGGAAGAAGTTGGTTGCATTGCCAGGCCATGGCCAAGGGGGCTGAAACACTCCTTGAGGTCCAAAGCAGTCACTTACCTTGCCTGGAATGTATCAGGTTTCGCCTCTTGCAAGCTTCCAATCATTTGTGTTTTGCCCTCACTAGCCTCGGCTGCATTTAAAAGGAATTGCTTCTCACCCTACGCTGACCCTGGGATATAAGGTCCACAGCCCAGAATGGCATAAGCAGGTGACAGACAGCCAACAACTCAGAAACCATCAAGGAGGAGTCCACCCCACCATGAGCTCTGGAAGTGGGCAGCATTGTGCTAGCATCTCCAGTTCCCCTTGGATAGCCAACAGTGAAAGGTAGGAGGGAGGAGATTTGGGAAACATATGATCCAAGTCAGGACTAGCTACAGATCAGGAGCACGGGACTTTTTGACGGCTCCCAACTGATGGGAACCAAATCAGCAGAGAACTATAAAGGAGGAGGCTAGATACCCATGGGCTTCACCACTGCCACAGCATCTGGCAAGGGAACCTCTATTCCAATCTTATCCTCCCAAAACATTCTGGAAGGGCCAAGAGGTGTGTTTCTCCTGGGATAAGCTCCCTCCAGCTGTAACTGTCACTGGGAGCACAGGGAGGTTGTCACAGCTATGCATGGGCAGCAGCCTAGACCTAGGTCCTACACTAAATTCAAGGAAGGCGTATGCAGCACTCTGCTTCCAACACCCCCATACTTCCAGAGCTGGGTGTTGGATTAAGTAACCAACCTTTCCCTGCTGTGGAAAGAAATCCTCTCTCCTCCTCATACAATTACAGGCAGACTTTGGTGAGCACCATCATCCCCAAATAAGCAACACTAACCCTACACAGTACATGTCCAACTCTGGATAGGATTTCCAGGGACTGTGCAGACAGGACCAGTACAGCTCTTGTATTATGGAGTTTAGGCTTCTCCCTCATGCACTGAAAACACCATTTACACAGCCACTTCAGGCAGAGAGTTGCAGCACAAAGAGGCACAGGGGTGTCACCACATTTCTCTTCACAGAGAAAAGCGAGGCACAATTCTTCCCAAGAATATTTCTGGGTTTCACATTCTCTGAACCTCAGAGAAAGGAAAAACAATTCTTATCTCATTTGCTGTGCCTGTGTTTGTGCAAAAGTAGAATGCAATATGGAGACTGTTTCCCAAAGTGACAGTGTTTTGTTTCTTGGCCTATCAGGGCCAAGCGTATGTGCGTGTCAGGACTATCAGCGGACAGTCATGAGATGCTGTGCAGTTGGAGTGCAGTTGGGTGCTTGGCACATTCAGTTTCGATGTAATATAACATAGTATAGAATAATATAGTATAATAAAGTAATTAATTAGCCTTCTGATAAGATGGAATCTTCCTCATCATTCCTCCTTCGTCGGGGGCAAAAATAGCCACTATATGGGGAGGTGAGCAGATGCACATACACTTCCAGTATGTGCAGGCAGCCACCCCAAGCTGCCCTACACAACCCTCAGCAGGGTCCCGATTTCTTCAAAACCAAGCAAGAGCTGGAAATTCAAAACTAACAGAAGTATTTTCACACACACATTAAGATGAAAGGTCAGGAACTCAGTATATATCTAGTTTAATTTTATGTAGTTTATTCCAGCACTAATACTGATGGCAAATCTGTCTGTCAGAGCTCACCCCTTTTCTCACCAGAGCCCATGGAGACGTCTCCCCCGTAGAGACTTTAGTCTTCGTTTTCCTGCTCCAGAACTCCATCCCCTCACCTTGGAACATGAGGCCAACTCCCGTGCAGGAACCAGCTTGTATGACCCTTATAGTCGATTCGTTTAGCACCTCATCAGGCTTTATTAGCAGCTGTGACCCAGGCATCACTGCAGGTCACCCAGGAGGCCTGGATGGCTGCTTGAGTCGAGCCTACCATGTCCCACCCTGCAGGCTCCCGCTCCAAGGGTCACTCAGCTCCAGAAGGTCCCATTGGCCGTGGAGGTTCTCACGAGCATGCGACGCCAGGAACACGGGCCAAGTCCCAATCTCAGCCCTTCTGTCACAAACCACCAGAGGGCAGCTGGAAACGCACCACAGACAAGCACACAAGGTGAAAAGTTCCACTGCTGAGCATTCCCCTTGCCCAGCTACTGCACCACAGGAACTGAAAAGAGCCAAGCACACACACTGCCCTCCAGGGGCCAGGAGCTGCCCTCCCATCCATGCCTCAGGGAAGCACTGCCAGGTGCCAGGAACCTGACAGAACACATTGCACAGGGCCCGTGTTCAGCTGGTCCTTAGCTCACAGGGCTCACATTAACAATTCAAGCCAAAAACCTCCCTGGCATAACTTAAAAAAATTACTAACTTCCAGGGACCACTGCATTAGGGGGTGATATGATAAATATACCCCCCTTGCTTACTCTTCCAAAGCTGAGCAGTGAGCAGAGGGTAGCAGCATCAGGATGGGTTGAAAAAAAATACACAGACGGAAGTCCAGATGCAGATCAGATTTCCCCTGCCCCTCATCCAAGCTCCTCCATCTCTTCTACAGTCAATTTATTTTGCATTCAGGGGCTTTTTTCCTAAGCCCGTGATAAGCTGTATTTTCTCTCACCTTACTGTACTGAGGAATTGGTCAGTCAGCACCAGCTTCCACAGGAAAAAGAGGGAGGAGCTCTGGACTTGCTGGTGTGTTTGTGGCAGGGCAGCAGGATCTCTAGCTAAAATAACCTTGTTGTTGAGCTCCAGCCTGAACCAATGCTGCCAGGTTCTTGTGCAATCCTGGACAAGTCATTTAGGGCAGAAGTTCACAGAGAGCTCCAGCCAACTCCCAGATCATGGTTGTTTTATTCCAGGCTCAATTTCAGGAATTGATTCAGTCCATGAAAGGGACAGATCACCACTGGGACCAAGGTGACAAAACTAGCAGAAATTCACGAGTGCATTTCAGTAGCTAGAACTTGTTTATTTATAGTTTAATCAGTTCAGGATTATTCTTTGCAATTTTTGAAGCAGTAATTTCCTCTGTCATGCTTGACCTTTTTAAAGAGCAACAATACTGAGGAATATTCTTCAGAGGATGCAGTGTGGGCGGCCAGGGGAAGCAAAGTAAGACACCTTCCAAGCACAGCACCCCAGAAGCACCCCATGGAAGAGTAGGACAGGAAGAGTGAGAAGGCTGGTTAACACAAGACAAGGCAGCAGGAAGGCTGGGTCAGGTCAGTGCGACAATGCTTTTGCAAGTACCACTCAGACTCTGGTTTTAAAAGGAGGCAGCTGCTGCCATCTGCAAATCGAGACCTAGATGGTGGCGAAGTACCAGAGGACACTGCTGTCTCTTGGAAACATGAGAAAATCATTGGTCTGTTTTTAGCTTCAGCAGCAGCAAGCAGCAGAGGCAACAGGAATAGATCCACCAAGCAAAACCAACCCAAAAGCAAAACTGAGATTTTGGGAGCCTTTCAAACTCCCTCCAGTCAGGGCCAATGACCCAAATTCCACTGAATGGCAATATCCACTTACATTTTACCTAGTGCAAATCTCAATACCACACTCCAAAACCACTCTTGGATGTGAAACAGAGCACATAAATGACAGAAAACTCAGGAGATCTGTACATCAATCTAATGTAACACTAAAGGAGCTTCACAGCTGCATTCTAGGATCAAATCTCCTTTTTGAGAACCCCTTATGACAGGAAGGGCAGACACATAATCAAGGCAGAGACAGTGAAGCACAAAGGGAACCATCCCAGGTCAGATGAACTAACACAATCCTCAGAAAGCCTTCAAGGCCACAGTCAACAGCTAACTGGGGGTGTATGACAGGTTTATGTAATGCCATGAAACCAACTGCTCAGAAGCCTGGGTGACTCAGTTGTGTTGGGGAAGATGCCATTGCTCCTGAAAGCTCTTCTCTCAGAGGTCCTATCAAATATGCCCATCTCTCCTTACTTGATACCCTCCCCATACTTTAATTAGGGCCACACTATGTATAATGCCCAGCACATTACTAGGAAAGAGAGAGAGGAGAGGAGTGAAGAACACAGCTGATCAAAGAAGCTGCCTTCTGGGAAAGTTGCAGAGCTCAGCCTGTCTCACTGATCTCCTAAACACATCAGTAAAGATGACCCTCACTGCATCTGATGCTCAACAGCACCATTTCTTCCATGGCATAACAGTTTCCCATTGCCCCACAGGGAAACAGGCAAGGGAGAGCAAGAAAAGGCTCATGACTCCAACATGATAGTAGAGCACAGGAAAGCTTGGGAGAGAAAAAATGGCCACTAGTTTAATACAATCTTAGCACCAGTCAGCATTACAGCAGCCACGCAAACTCTATGTCTGCACCAAAAAGTACAGGAACAGCAAGATTAGCTGAATCATCTTTATATATAGTGGAAAATTTCCATATACCATCTAAATCAGCAAGAGAGGGACTAAGCTTAGGGTATGCTTAAAATTATCTTCTGCTCAGGAAAGCACCTGCTGCCCTGGAGCACTCTTCCCAACAGTAATCAACCTTGGAGTTCAGTGTCTTGGTTTGGATTTCAGGTGCAAGCATGTCCCCTACAAGAGGCAAGGTTTTCCTCCACATTAACTACTTCCGTATTTAGTCCTTGATTTCCATATGTCAACTCCACTGACAACAGCACAGTGGGAAAACAAACTGATTCATGCTGTTTGTCACCACAGCACACAGGAGTTTACCTGACACAGCTGTAGTGGTCACACTGTGGGCATGCTCCCACCTACTCCCTAACCCTCTACTGCAGATTTGCTCTCCTACCTTGCACTCTTTTTGGTATCAGCTTGACCCTGAAAAACAGGGTCCACTAGTTCATCAAGAAAATATTGTGCAAGATGTCAAATTTCCATGCAATGAATGTAACTGTCTCCCTGTACAGGAGCTGATGGAACTGATGTGGAGGACGTGTGGGAACACACAGCCCAGATAGAGAAAAGAGATGATTCCTGCTTCAGAGACAACAACCAGCTGATCAAGTGCCACTTGTTTTGAGTAGCCAACAGAAGCAAGAACCTGATTAGGAACTAGTAGCTCACAATGAGAGCCAACCAAAACCCTCAAATCACAAACTTAATCCTTGTGCAGGAAGAAGTGGCTGTTTAGTAAAAGACTTATACAAATAACCCAAAAAATTTAATAAGAAATTGGAGTGTCTCGGCCAATAAAACACAAAGCTGCTCTTCAGCCTCCACGTAACCCTCAGCCCAAGCGTGATACAATTCTCAGGCATCTTCCCATCAAAGATGTTTGGCCCTTTACACAGGACCCCATTAGCACATGTAGGGCCAAACTGTACAGGACTTGGAGTTTCCTTGGAGCAAGTCTAGTGGAAGGTGTCCCTGCCCATGGGAGGGGGTGGAAAGAGATGGGCTTTCAAGTCCCTTCCAACCCACACCAGTTTGGGATTCTGGGATTTTATGTGGCAGCTGGTTAAGCAGCCAGTCAAAACCTCATGTCCTATTTGTATACATGAGCTGCTGCAGGTACCTCAGGAGCCCTCACAGGTGAGAGGACAAGAGCCACTAGCCACAAGTATATCTGCAGAAGCAAATCCTCTGTCAGCAACATGAGGAAATTCCAGCTCACACTACTGAATGGTTTGCCATTCTAGGACAAAAAATGTGCCACATATTCCCACCTGCCTCTAAGCCCTGTGCTCTCAAACCCAGTAGCTGAAAGTGGCAGTTCCAGAAGGGGAAGCAAGTGGTGGATTTGCCTGCTTTTGACAGCTTTTCATGCTTTTATACGGGAAGGGAGACAGTCACCACAGAGCTCACTCAAGAACCTGGCAAGAGAGAGCACATCTCACACATCTAGCCTCAGACAAACCTCTCCACCACACTCCAGAAAAAAACCAGGCATAGTGTGAAACGGCATGAGAGCTGTTTGAGCTTGTTTAACCAGTCATAGGCCTGGGACAGCTATATCCTAGCAGATCCAGGGAGCTATCAGACTTCTGCAAACCTAATGAACACTAGGAAGAAGGAAACAGCACCACTCCTTGAAAAGTATGTTTTTCCATCTAGCATTTCCTGGATTCCCTCCAGAGTGAAGTTTAACCTTGTGGCCTTGATTCAACAGAATAGACTTGATTGCTTGGCCAAAAGGGCTGGCACAGATCACTGCCATGAAGATGTATGCAGAGGGACCACTTAAGAACATATCCAAGACAGAAAAGGCTTGACAGGGTAAACCTGAAGAAGTCATAAGGGTTCTCCCTCCACTCCAAAGGCAGTTTCCTGCAGGCAATCCCTTGGTCTTGCTGCTGGCTTTAGACATAGGAATTAGGATTAGCTGTTACAAGGTGAAGAAGCTGTAAGAACAGCCACCAACACATACCAGCATAACCTTCTCCAGGAAGCCCAGAGTTCCAGCCAAATCTCCCCACAGAAGGCAGCAATTAAAACTGAATTGCAAAGTTGAACAGCAGCACTAATCACTATGAAAAAATGAAAAACCACACATTTTACACTAAGATTCAGGATTAGTGTGCCCAAAAATCAGCTTCTTAAAAGAAAAGTGAGGTTCTTTCTAATGTGATTTAATAATAAATACAAGTTATTATCAACAGTGTTAGGACTTCGCTATTCTTCTCAAGCATGAACAAAAAGGTGTGATGAAGTGCGTGCAGTTTTGGGATAGGTATGACATCATTTGTCCCTTTAGGCTTTCTGCTATCTGCCCATGAGCAGGGAACAACAGGAAATTTCTTGACAGAAGAGATTCTGGAACCCAATAAGCCCCAAAAGACAGCTTTTACTATTTGGGAACATGCACACTGAGTATTTCTTTGTTTAAGAACTACCAAACCCTCTTCTTCATGGGGTCTGACAGGAAAGATGTTGCATTAAAGATCAGAGCGATTTTGACAGGACTGAGGCCAGAAGCAGACTGACAAGGATTAAACATTAAGGAAAGGCTAGCTCACAAGAAGGAAAGGGGGACTCACAAAGGATAAAAGCCATATTTACAAGTCCTTCACACTCAGAAGAAAGGCAAAGGAAATAACTACCCTCAGGCAGGCTTGTGAAGATACTTTAATACATCTGAAAAGAATGCATATACAAAGAACTTAGACATGAAAAAGCATTGGTTCAACACTAATGAGTCTACAAGAAATTTAAATTGTGGAAGATAAAGAAGATTCCCTAAGTTTTAAAATTTTTTGAATTTGCAAACCAAAATATATTTTTGGTAAAATCCTTATGATACTCCAGATGGTCTATGTAGAGACACTGCACATGATCCTCAGGGGTTGGAGCCCCTCTTACAGGTTCAAGGTTACTCATGAGCAAAATGCAGAAAAAGGGGTTCCCTCAACTGGTCCCAATATGGTGTCACACCAAACACCAGAAGCCTCTCCCTGCACTTCTTTTCAACTGACACAGGTCTATCTTTCCACCTCTCCCTGAAGGATGCCAAGCCATCCAGCAAGAGATGCACCATCAGAGCCAGCTCCAAAACCCATTGCAGCACATCCCAGGTTCCTTTAGGGTGTCCAAGCAGCCGTGTATATGCTGGTCATTGTAAGCAGTTCTCTAATAATTAAGGATTGCCAGAAGGTAGGTTCAATAAAAGCCAACTGACCCAGCTAGGCGTACTTCCAATGGGGCAGTTATTTCTTCAGCACGAGCCAAAAGAATGTGATGGCAAAGATTAAGGAAGAGACTGGCAAGTTAGTCTCAAGTCTGATGGTGCATCCAGAGAAAATCATTCTCCTGTTCCTAAGGCTTCATAACTTAGAGGATGGGGTATAAATTTATTACCTGCACAGTTAAAGAGCCAGGGCAAAAAGATACAAGGCAACTTCAGAGAAGATGTATTTTCTACAATCCTTCTTAGAGGAGCACCAGCTTGGGACATTTTGCTTTCCTGACTAAAGTCTGCTCATACCCAGGCTGCTGGCTGGCTGCAGAACAGCCCTACAAGGTCTAGAAACCAGAACCAAGTCTTGCCACACCAGCGTAAGGGGCAAGACTTCAGTTAAACAGCCTAAAATTAGTCTGTTATAGAAAAAGTCATTGAGCATGCCTTGATGTTAAACAAAAAAAAAAATTAGAAACAATAAACAAAATAAAAAAACTAGTAATGATCAGTGTCTTCTGATAATACATAATTACTCAAAATTAACTAGTTTAAGTGAATTGAGGGGGCACGGGGGAATAAACACTAACATTCTCATCTCACACAGGTATCGTGTGGGGGAGATGGGAGTGCAGGGAATTTGTCATTATTGCAAAAACAAATTTTAAAATTTTATCTTTAGTTTGATTTTAACATTGCTTTTAGTATGACATCAAACACCAGCTTTGCAGAAGGGGCTGTGGAGGGACGTTCATAGCAGCACACACCTGCGAGTCTTCTTCGGCTCCGGGGGCTCCAGGGCAGCCAATATCGCTTCGTCAAATACATTCTTTAGGCCTTTCTGAAAGGGGCAAAGAGAGAAAGGGGCAGTTTCATTTTTGATTTTTCACACATACAAAATCCCAGAAAGCCAAGTGGCAGCCACACCCCTCTAAGGACACATGGAGATTTGCCATCCCTAAAGCCTGCCTGCCCGGCGAAGCTCTGTACCACTGCTCTCAGCACTTTCTCAGCAGAGCATCTCATTTTCAGAACAAGAAAACTAATCCTCAGAGAACGGACCAGTGTGCTTCACAAGTAGCAAAACACGTGCACCAAAGTAATTTCCTTAAGGCAACTTTTATGACTAACTGGCTACTTATATTTCACCTGCTAATAACAAAGTAGAAAGTGTTGCATTCAGACGGAAGAACTTAACCTGGAGCACACCTGTGACAACACACCCCCGTGTGTCAGTGGAGGAGAGACAAGGTAAGTATGAAATTATAACCTTGTACAGTACATGCTCTGGTCGGGTATCCAGCCCTAAACACCTCAGGGTTAGAAGCAGCCCGGCAGAGCCCAGAAAGCTGCCATGGTAACAGAGAAGTCAAGCTGGGAGGAGTACAGAGGGGTATCATACACTCTGTTGAGGATTAAACTGGAGCCAGGAAATGCAACTTGAATAAAGTTTCATCAGTCATTTATACAAACAACTGCAATTTTTAATTTCAAAATTTAAAGACAAGCTACAATCGATGTTTTTTCCTTAAAACAATAAAAATCAGAAGCACGATAGTAAGCAGCAGCTTTACATCTTACAGTAACAGGCTTTAAGAATCTATTATTGAAATGAAGAGCTCTACCATGTTAATGAAAGCAATAATTTTAACAGTTCATAAAGCAGTAGCAAGTACATTGATATCTCCTTCCCCCCAAGGACTGACAGATACTCCACTAAAGCACAGACAGCCAAAGCAACAGCAAACATCTCACTGCACACAGGAGAACCAGAAAACCCTTCACTTTACATAATCATTTGCAGATCACCAGTTCAGGTACTTTTGTCATGCAAATACAGTTAAGAGTCACAAGCAGAAATGGAAAACACACCCATTGTTTCTTCCAGTTGGATTCAGGAAGATCAAACATCTCTCATTTTTTTGGTCGTTCTTTAAATAACAGTGTAACCAAATCCTTTCCCCCAACAGCCTGAATTATAAAGCTAGCCACACCTGGCAACCCAAGCAGCAGGGAGTTAAGCGAGTCCAGTTCATGTTCCACAGTCACAATGTTTTACTAAAGATCTCAAGTACTGTTTTCAGTCCAAGAGCTAATACAGAGGTCGCTCTAAGATGGCAAGCAGGCACAACAGCTTTCAATCAAGATGGTCTGATTCATTTTTAACCGGGTTTCTACAGTAGTGGGACAGAGGAAGCAGCAGCAAGAGGGGAAGAAGAAAGTTTAGAATATACAGCACTTCCTTTTGGGCTGAGTTTCCGGAGGCTCGAGGGCAGCTAGGATAGCCTCATCAAACACATTCTTCAGACCTCTCTACAAGACAGAGGGGAGGAGAAAAAACAGCAGCCAGGTTAGAGGATTAGAGAAAAACAAGCAGATACAAAGAGCATTCAGGAGCAGGCTGAATTCACAGAGGCAGTAAACAGATTTACTTTGCAAAAAAACAAAGTAGATCCCAGGAGAAAATCTCATTTAGATAACCCAGAAGTCAATGACAGAGACAGAACAAGTGACAGGCCACGTCGGACAAAATCAACACTCAGAAGGGCAGAGGCACAAACACAGCAAGAACATGGGGGAGGGGGCCACACAAATGGTGACAGTTTCTGCTCCACTGCTGTACTACACTGAGGGAGTTTACAGGGGAATAAATCAAGCACACAGCAGCTTGCCCCAGCAGGGAGAACCAAAAGGTCAGTCAAACCTTTTGTCAACACCCACTGTGGATAAGTGAACACCTCGGATGCACAGAGTATTGCTCCCAACTCTCCAGGTCCAGAGCAAAGGCTCCAAACAACTCCTCTGCTTTGTGAATTCAGCCCCTGAATAACTGAAGGTCTCCAAATGGCTGGGAACACACATTCTGGGAGGGAAGCAGGACCACCCTGGTAAGCCATCATCACTGGCAGTCACTAACTCTCAAGTCTTTAGAAGTGATGCAATACCTTACCAGTGCTACTCTGACACTGGGAGCCAGCATGGAAATGGTGCATTTCAGTTATTCAGTTTAGTTGCCAAAGCAAGTGTAACCACAGAAAGACAGGAACAGCTTTATGAGTGCAACGATTGGGATCCAACACCAGAAAAGCAGTCACAGAGCTGCAGGACTCTGCAGGGGTCACACCGGAGCACAAAGTATGCGCTGCATTTGCTTTAAGCACAACAGGAACAGTGCAGGGCGTTACCACTCCCACCCAAGTCTGCCAGGTTACACACCACACCAGAAGTGAAACCTGGCTCAGTTTAGACTAACTGGACTCGCCTAAATCTACTGTCATGAGTGCACCCTTCAAAGATTCAGGAGAACTGCTTTATGATAGCTGAAAGCAAACAGAAAAGCTTCAATTACATCCTGTAAACAACTGCAATCTGTGCAAAAATTAATTTATTTTCAGATCATTCAAATGTAACTGGTTTTTCCCTTACAGGTTATACTGGATATATCCCTTTTAGAAGGTCTTTAATCTTATTTTACTAAAGCACATACATAGGAGACCTCTAAGGCAGTGCCATCTGGAAGCATTTAAGGCCATCACATAACATGCAAGATTATACTTGAAAGAACAATAGTTTAAGGAAACGATGATGTACATTCTGTACATCCTCCCCAGAAATTTTTCTTTTTCTTTGAGTGAGTTGCAACTCATGCTCACAAAAGAGCTTCCGATAAATAATGCCTCTGAAGTCCAAATAGTAATTAGATTTAATTTCTCTGTGAGAATAAGGCTGCAGCATAAAATCAATTATGTAATGTTAAACAGATTAAGAACCCAGGCAGGGCAAGAGTCAAGAAAACAATTTTACTTAAATTCTCCTATTCAGGGATTCCTCTTATTTTTGTATCACCTGCAAGAAATTTGTTCAGCAGTGCAGAATTTGGGATTTGTTTTGAAGGACCTAGCAAAAAAGGGAAGAGGATAAAAAAAATGACTGGGACAAAATTGTTGTGAAAATGGACCAGGGTTAAAAGCCTGGATGACCACGAGTAACAACATGAAGGGAAGAAATTGTGTTCAATACCACAGATACACAGGCCTGTTAAAAACATGACTTTTGTGTTACACTGGAAACAGGCTGAGATCAGGCTTCCTCTGTTTATGGACAGCTTAAAGCACTTTATATATCTGTGTCAAAACTGGCAGCCCACCATCAGGAGGAAAAGAAATCATATTCAGCATTCTCTCTGATGTGAGGTACTAGGATTGGGCTTCAGAAAGTGCAGACATCCATACTCAAGAGTAACAGAAGCAACCATCACTGTAGTTGCAATCTGTCAGTCACCCTTTCCTAACAGCAAAACCTCACCTACTTGTCACAGTAGCACTGGGTGATCTTGTAAAGAAAGGCTGGAGACAGACACTGAAAATGCCTTCATCACAAAAAGGGATTCCACAGTCTGAGGAAAGGGGGATAGAACTGGCTCTCCAATAGAGCAGTTATCCAAACTTGAGGAGAAACTCTGTCTTTACAGAAAAAACTCAAAACTCAGCCTCTCATGACTCACATAGTACAAAAACAAATAATGCCAGCTCCATGATTCTATGAGTATTAGCTACTGTGGTGTCAAAGTAATTTGTAGATTAGTTGGGAAGAAAAAAAACACCCTGCACTGCTGAAGTGAACCACACAGACAGCATCCAAGGCAAAGAGAGACTGAATACCCAGTTGAGTCTCACTTCAGCTAAAATCAGCTACTACAGCATCACCTTGCAGGTAGGAAAATAACCCTCCAGGCCAGGGAAGATGCCTTTTGTGTTCAGCAAGCTGCCAGTGAGATCATTGCAGGAGCTCCACACAACCCTTTGCAGATCAGTTACAATGCTGTTCACCAGCTACTGATGACAGACCCAGGAAAAAAGTGTTTGGTGAGTCAACAACAAAGGGAGAAAAATGGAGCAGATGCAAACCAACTAGTTGTCCAGGTGAGAAGGCTTCTGAATCCTCCTCCCAGGTCACTCCTGACCACTAAAATCATCACTTGGTATACAAGCACTAATGCTCTGGAAGAAAATTCAGGCTGAGCTTCCAAGTGCATAAAGTTGTTCACTGTAACAGATACAGATTAGTCTATCGGGAAATAGAAAGAATGGATAAACACCAACATTTTTTGTCATATCAGCTCTTGCTGTAGTAATTCTAAGTGATACCATGCAATTTGAGCAGATACAAGCTCAAGTCCAAAGCTACAGAGGAAAGGGAATCAGAGAGCAATACAGGACAAAGGCCCTGGCAGGTATTTACCCAATTAGCAGGTTCTACAACCTAGTTAGCAGCAGCATTCAGGCTGTGCCAGATACCATCTAAAACAGTATTTTGGGGCTGAACAGACCCAAGAAAAACTACAGCTCAAGCATAAACAGCCCTCAGCTTGCCTGCGGGCAGTTTCGAAGCATGGCCAAGACCACCTTTTGATCAGGGATTCCCAGGATGAGCAGCAGCATGCCTCACCACATCACCTCCAGGGTCAGTGTCCTGCACAACTCCAGCAAAGTTCCGTAACAGGAGACACCCAGGCAAATCTTTGTTACAAAAAAAGCGTGAGGATTTTAAATGGAAGAGTAAACATGCAATCTGGAAAAAAGGGGCAAGATAAGTAGAACTTCAGGATTTGTGAAGTTTGGTAATAGCTTTGTGCTCAAGGAGATCAATGAACAACATAACTGGAAAGAGTGAGGAGCTTGATACTGTGCACCCCTGGTTCCATGCACATCAGAGATGAACAAATTCTTTACAGACCAGCATTAAGGAAGCTGTTCAAAGTGTTATAGTCAATTCTGCAAGAGTAAGAACCTAGGATTAAGTTCTCAGAGCATCCAAAGTCAAGGCAACAGTCAGCTAGCCAGAAAATGGCTCCCACTCTAGTATTCCTAACTGAAAGGGAAAAGATAATTGAGTTTCTTGCTGTCAAATCAGCTACTTTAGTTGGCATTTGATTCACATTCACAAGTTATAAACATGATGTAAGAACTGTCTTAAGAACTATTTAACTGTTACTTTCTGTTTTAACAGAACTTCTATCTGGAGGAAGGCCACAGGAAACAGCCGACTACCAGCTGCACAGGAAGAGAAGGCAGCTATCAACTATGAAGGTTTCCAGTCTTCAAAGTACCAGCATTGACTTTATCGAGAGGCATTTTTTCCTTTGCCTGCTTGTTTCAGCAGTGACGTGCACACTGTGTTCCAACCCAATTATTGTCCATAATGTACCTTCTAAGTTATCAACGGTTATTTTTCTCCAGCACAGAAGTAAACACAGTAAGCACATCCTCCTTCATCACCCACATTAGGCCTAAACCACACAGGCTGATTTTCTTTGTACCACTGCCAACTCTCTGCGCCTTAGAACAACATGACAAAGAGAAAGCTACACTGTAAATAGCAGAAACAGAGCTTACACCCCTTCACATCCACACTGAGCTGTTTTTCCCTGGAACTGAAAAAAAGCATGGAATAAAAGGAAGCACAAATGGTCAAAGACCAACCCTTACCTGCGTAAGTGCAGAGCATTCCACGTATTTTACGGCCTTCAGGTCCCGGGCCAGCTTTTCAGCAGTCTCTGGAGTTATGGGCTTCTGCTTGTTCTTGGCAAGTTTCTCAATTGTTGAGGGATCATCTCTTAAATCAATCTGGGTCCCAACAAGCAGAAAAGGAGTCTTTGGACAGTGGTGAGTAATTTCAGGTACCCACTAAAGACAGAAGAGACACAGCATTTGTTACTAACTACCTAAGATAACTCCTGACATACTTCAGCAGCTCCATTTTCATGCAGAGTTCAACCAACCTTTTCTTTCACATTTTCAAATGAAGAAGGAGAGACCACTGAGAAACAGACCAGAAATACATCTGTCTGTGGATAGCTGAGGGGTCGTAATCTATCGTAATCTTCCTGACCTAGAAAGGAGGAAATTAACACTGTATTAGACCCAGACGACAAAATCCTGCCCTTTACAGGGAGTCAGAATTCACATTTCATCACAATAACATGACTGTGATTAATCCTAACTCTGAAGCAAATAGCCAGCACATAGTGAACTCAAACATCTGAAAAATCTATGTTTCAAATCCAGAATTCATTCAGTTGCTATGTAACAGTGAGCCGCTGAAAGTCACAGGAAAGCTGGGAAGCCTCCAGTACATTTTGAGATCAAACACCCTCGGACTGCATAACATTCTCTTCAGTTATGAAGGACAGTTGCAGAATATCGCTCCAGTTATACGTGACCATTCATTACAAGTATTATGCCATCAAATTTCATTACCCTGCAAAAAATCCCCTCCTCTCAAGAAGGGAGAAAAAATTCATTTTGTTCCGACTTATGCTGTGACTCACTGAAGTGTCTCCAGGCATAAAGAGGAGAATGTTGCTGGTACACATGACTGCAACCAGGCCATCCAGCAGTATTCCCCTAAAACCTCACCCAAGTCCCAGCATGGGCTGTGCTTTGGAAAAAGCCAGCCTCCTCCCTTTGAGTCCCTATGTGCATGGAGTCTCTGCAAGGCATCACTAGCACTGATCCACCAGCCTGTCAAATTTCATTCTTAAACCTCCTCCTGCATAATTCAGCGGCACTACTGTTAGAAACCCAATTTGGCAATGAAGCTGCTGCACTTACTGGCAACAAAATCCAAGATACTTGTTTAAGATGTCTCAGATTCCAACTAATGCTGTCTCACTCATCCTACAGGACAAAGACCTACAAGACCTTGAAGGAGTCAACACAGCAGCTGGGACACCTCAATGGACAAGACCTACAGTTTGAAGATGGAAATTTAGACATCTCATTCTGTCTACTGTGCTTGGCTGGACAGAGAGGAGTGAGCACTGACCAGAATCAGATTCTCATGGTTTGGGGTGAAAAGAATCTTGAAGCTCGTCTCATTCCAACCACCTGCCATGGGCAGGGACACCTTCCACTGGGATCAGGTTGCTCCAAGCCCCAGTCAATCTGGCCCTGGACACTTCCAGGGATCCAGGGGCAGCCACAGCTTCTCTGGGCAACCTGTGCCATGGCCTCATCATCCTCGTAGGGAAGAATTTCTTCCTAGCATCTAATCTAAATCTAAAATAACATGTTGCAATTAACAGACTACTCCAAAAGTCTACCTTCCAAGTACATGCTCAAAACAAAGACTTGGGTTTTAATCTGAGAACCAGCAATAGGGGCTTCGTGCATTGTTAAATTTTGTCACTTGTGCTGGCTGGTACTTAGAAAAAGCAGGCAACCATTAAGAACACATACTTTCCCCTCAGCAGTCCTGCTCAGGAAAGAAAGCCTTTACATTCACAAGTGCACAGAGTCACCTACATGCATTAAAGCAATTTGGTAACTTCTCAAAATTACTAGCTGGATCACTGCTCATGTTGATAACAGAAAATGTGCGTAACTACACACACAACACTTCTCAGTGGTCTGAACCCTCAGCCGGAAAACAGGCAGAGAAGGACCAACACAATCACCCACACAGGGACCACGCAATGCTGGAACTGCTGTAGGACCACTAAGATCCCTACAGCAGACCACACAACATATGTCAGGAAAGAGTCTCTCTTCCCCACCTAACTCCTCATCCATGAACTAGGGAGCTTACAATAGTGGGAACACAAATCACATTTGGGAGGAGAACATGGAGAGCTAAGTGAAGCCATGCTGAAGAATACATTCAGTACAGACAGCTCAAGGTACAGATGCAGTGCCAGCTGCAGGTTAAGCTCTGGGTGTCCAGGAGCTCCAGAGGAGCTGGCATTGACCCTCTGCACAATGAAGGGACCTGTGGCACAGCCAGCTGATGCACATTCAGAGATACAGCAGGAACCAAGGACTCAGCTGAAAGCTCCCAGAATTTCAAACACATGCTGTGAGGGACATAAAAGCCCAGGGTTAGCTTTGTTCAGTATCTCTTCCCAGAGGCACTAGCTCAAGCTGTTATTTTGGTTTTGCACCACAATTAAATTTTAAGGCCCTGGCTGCCTGAGACATCTATGGGAAATCTGGGGCTGAGGCAGGAAGGAGACCTTGTCTGACTGTGGAGTGTGGTGCACACCGAGAACCAAGCAAGGCGCCACTGCGTCACTGGAGCTGCCACTATGAACAGGCTTCAGTCCCAGCTCAGGTGGTGAAGTGTGACCGGATGGCCAAAAAGGAAAGTTCCTTTAACAGCTATAGTGTTTAACTGGAAACCTAAGATTGTTTCATTAATAAAATTAGACATTAATGATGCATGTAAGAACACAGCTGGAAACAGATTAAATTTTATCAGGCAATTTTACATGAATGCTTATGGACTAAGCTCTCCAGAAGGGCTCTTTTGAAGAAGAATTTACAATACCAGCTGCTGCCACATCACTTCAGTATTATTAGGTGGTAGGGACGAGTATCCAGCAGCTGAACCAGTTTCTACCATTTCTTTTCATACATGCAAAGCCATGTTTAGCTGTTTCATCACTGCACATTTCTCCAGCCTAAAACTGAGATGCAGCTTAAACAAGAGGCCAGGAGATTTTTAATTTTTAAAAGCAAGCAGTGAGAGGGCTTATGAAATCCACACCCTGACTTCATCCATATTAAGGATGCAGAGACACACAACACATTTAAGAGGTTCTAATATTAGTCATTCTGTCTTGCCAGAATCAAGAGAGATTTTCCCCTTCTATTAAAAGAAAATCTCAACAAAAAAACCCAACTGTATGTCTTCATGTTCAACATCACCTCAGGCAAATCTTGGTCAAGTACCATGACACAAACACTTGGTTTCTCACCTGCAGTATCAAAGAGGCCAAGGGTGTAAGGCTCTCCTCCAATCATCACTGTTACAGCATAGTTATCGAAAACCTGGCAAGAAAAGAGACACATGTTTCAAGGAGACATGATTCTCAAACCATCATCCTACCCACCTTGCCAGAGCACATCTAATTTGAATAAGAGACACCTCTAGAAGAAAAGAGAACCATCAGGCTTACAGTGCTATTACCACTAATACTATTAACAGAACAATTCCACACGTAATAGTGATACTCCAACTGTTTCCACAACATAGTCAAGCAAAGGCATATAAGGCACACCACTGAATAACACACAGTAAAAACCACTGAGCAAAACACCTACAACAGTGTTTGCCTGTTACTGCAAGGAGGTTTCCCACGCTGCCACAGAAATTCCAAACTTCAACCTTAGTCTCAGACACAGTAAACACATCCTCACAAGGACAGAACAGGTAAAGTCAGCCCTGCCATTCAAGGGCACGGAGTGATGGGGCTGTATCTCACAGCACCTAAATCCTCTCAAGTCCAAATTTCTGAGCATCTAGGGAACTCTATAGAGTCCATCCTTTCAAGAGAGATTTATCCTCCACCTTTGAAGGAAGCAGTATCTGGTAAAAAAATCAATCTGTGTCAAATCCAATCTGAAAGGAGAGTCTGGCTCCAGATACCAAGCTCTACTGCCTCTGCAACAGCACCTGGTACAATAGTACTGCCCTCCAGGACGTTGCACAGATTAAAACCAGCACTACCCGCTAGTGTTTCACCCACAAAGTAACTTACAGTACAACTGAGCATAACAACCTACCCAAAAGCTCAACTCCTCCACCCATCCACTCAGGAGAGCACTGTCTGAGGTCAGCATCCTTCATTTCAATAACGATGTTATCTTCAGAACCACAAGAGACAATACTGCAGAAACAACCTATGGCAAAAGATCCTCCCCACTGCAAAAAAAAAAAACCAAAAACCCACCACCTGCCCCTGCAAGGTGCTGCATGGTCACTTGGGGCAAGTCAGGATCTCCAAAGAATGATGAGGAAATTCTGCTTCCTCACAGAACTGCAGCCTGAGCAGCTCTCACAGCTGAAGTAAATCCCAACAGGAAAGATGTCAGCAGCCACCTCAAAGGCTTTTCATGGAAGTGAGCAGGGAGGGATGTGGAAAACAAGTAGTCACATGCATCTGCTGTTAATACAGTAAGAGCTTAGGTCCTTGGAAAAAGAAAAAAACAACAAAAATTGAAGAGCAGTGAGACTGCACTTCAAAGCTGTACTCCCCAGAGTTCAAATGTCTCCTTCCCACCTGACTGCCCTGGTTAAAGACAAATCCAACACTATCCTATTTTTTATAGCTTTTCAAAACAGAACATCATCCAGAAGCAGAAATCCACTTCTCACACTGTTTTGAATTAGCACATGCAAGAGACATCACCACTTGTCCCCACTACCTGCAACTCAACCCATCAAACACTGCACTGGGTTTGCCTTACTGAACACACAAGAAAGGGTCTAGCTCCAAATCACACCTTGAGGTTGAGGGATGGTTGAAAGTATTTTCACAGGGCACATTCAACATCCCACGACTGTACTGCTTCAAGAGCTCAAAAGACTTATCAGGATGAGATCTCCTCTGTTCCTAGGAACAGAACAAGGAGCCAAAGTGATGAAGGTCAGAGCATTTCCTCTTGCACATGTCAGAAGATGGTCAGCAGCTCAATCCCACAGCAATATCCCCCCATTTTTGTTCAGCTGCCACCTGCAGCTGCCCTTTCAGGGCGATTAGCATGTCTCCTTTCTCATCTTGTTTTTTGTTTTTAAAGCTCCCTATCTGCAAAATGGGATTTTTTAATTTCAATTTTTGTGTTAAGGTATAGTTTCTATTGAAATGTTTGGGGTAGAGCCCTAAGAAGGCCAGGGTTATGAGGCTGGCCTTCACAGAAACCAGGCAACTATAGTCTCATAGTACAATCCACAGACAATTTCATCCTCAGTTGTGCCAAAATGGCTAAAAAACAGAGCCCAAAGCAGTTCCTGCCAATGCCAGGCAGCCCACTACAGCAACTGGCATGAGCTCTCACTTGAGCTGTCACAACCCAAACATTGCCAGTGCCTTTCCAAAGACGTGCCCTTCACTGCCTTGATTTTTCAGAATGGCAACAAATTCAAAAACATACAGGTAACAAACTATGTGCAGTACCACCATGAAATACATCTTCCACTGGGAAACATCCTCCATGAAGAGAAAGGATCGCAAAACACAGTGCCAACTGAACAGAACTATCTATAGAACTGAAATGGTGTGCTCTCCCATCCATACTGCAGCCAGGCCACTGCACAGGAACTGAAGTATCCGTTCTATTTCTCTGTCCATTCATTATTAGAAGCATTAGCTGGAATATCAGAGGTGATGTACCAGTTTCCAGAGTCTGAAGTATGCCTCTAGGCTGTTCACAGAATTAGGAATGGGCCTCTGATATCTCCAGAACAGTGAGTTCCTCAAGCCATGAAGTTCAGAGGTAAATAACATTTTGGAAACATGAGGCAGATTTAAAAGGCACTATAGAGAAGCCTTAGCACACCTTGAACACAATTCACTGGCAACTAACTTTTTCGCATGTTTTCCACATTCCTTTCTAGCAGAGATTTACAGGTAGTACTACTGTGTGCAGGACAGGATACCAACTTGACGGCTTTCAAAACATACATTTTAAGATTATAACATTTTTCAGCTCTATCACTTCCCTTAAGGGATAAGTATAGAAACACTCACTGTTGAATTCACTGACCAATTTCATTTTGCCTTGACTATAAAGAACAGCTTAAATAGGACAAGCAGCCTTTCACAGGTTCAGCACAGAATGTAGCTGCCCTACAAGCATCACATCAGGATATCTGACACCGCTGAAAAACTTAATGGTGAAACAGTTTCAAATGCCACTTCTCTACCAATCCAAAACAGAGCCCATGAGAGAGGCTGATCCTGGGTCTCTGTGCCTACAGCACAATCCACAAGTTCCCACTAGTGACCACTGTCTCTACCCTGAACACCAGGAGGTTTGGGAGTCCTTTCATGTTCAGCTCCTGATCTACAACTAAAGACAAACATTTTTATTTTGTGGAAGTCTGTCCAACCCAGGACAAACCTCGTATCTGGTAAGTTGAAAAATTCTGGATAGCATATAAAGCCAGTATCTCAAAGAGACATGATGATGTCTACTGCAACTTCTTTCCCACAAAGAGAAGACATTTTCGTAAAGTCCTATTCCAAAAGAGCTATCAGGCTGAGCTACCTGGTCTTGTGAGTTACTTTGTAACACAGAGAATATTACAAACGCTTTTACTGGCAGGTGTTCTCTGTGATGCATTTCCACATCCAAATTTGTTTGGGACACATAGATAAACTCTTCAACTTGTATATTAACAGAAGATGGCCTTTTCAGACCATAACAGAGAAAATTAGTAAAAAGAGCATCCAGCTAGAGTAGCATAGTAGGAGTCCCTGTAAAATCTATGTACTGTATAAGTGGCCTTGCCCCAGTTCTAGTTATTCTAAATGAGCCACAGGTGTGAAGTCCTTAGTTGGGCACCAGCTGTGGCTCGTGAAGGTTACTAGGATAAAAGGGGGTGGGTTGAGAGCCCTGATGAAGCCACAAGGAAGGGCACTGCTGAGAAGAGCTGCATGTGAGGAAACCACCCAGAAGGTACGGACTCCAGCAATATTATAACAACAATACGATTACAACATCCAGCTGCCAGTGTCTTCCAGCAACCTCACTAAAAACTGGCCCACCTCAGTGGCAGTACACCGATCTTGCGTACACAATATCAAGTACAAAAGCACTTTTCTAACAGGAACACTGTGCACATGCCTCGCAGGCAGTCAAACCACTCTCACTTTGAACTTTGGATAAGTCAAGGGATTCAGTATTTCAGAAAACTGAGCCTGTGAAACTCAAAACAGTTACTTCAACATAGTTAAGGACTATGCATACATTTGGAAGTACAAAAGAATGTGTCTGCTTCCAAACAGGCTCCTCATACTTAGCTGAAGTTGACAAATCACCCTCCATAGTGAGGGTGAGAAAATGAGCCTCAGAAAATGTTAACTGTTGTCACTGACTATTCTAGCAACATGAAACACTCCCTTCCCTAAAAACAAAGATGTAGCAGGAAGTGAGAGCACAACCAGGAGAGCAGGTGTTCCTACTGCTTACTCTCCACTGATCTGCAGTTGTTCACACTGCTTATCTCACTCACAGAGTCCATCCACAAAGAAAATACAGAATCTGCACAGCAGTCAAGTAGCAAGAACTGACCATACACAGGTGAACTGACTAGCACTACCAGGTGATATGGAAGGTAACAGCATGGTGTCAGACTGATTCTCACTCTTCCATGCTGTATTAGTCAGTCTCCAAGAGGCTATAAGAACACATATTAGGGAATGCATGCCATCAAGGTTAGTTCGAAAAGGAATTCATGCTACCCCACCCCAGCAAGCCCAAAGAAGAGTTTGAGCCATTCTCACACTTACCGTTGGTACGTATTCCGATGGGAATTTATTTGTTGTATAAGAAATTAAGAGACAGGTTTTACCAACAGCACCATCACCCACTACTACACACTTGATCGTCTGCATTGTTGAAATCTACTAGAATACCAATCCAAAGAGAACCTAGAAGAAAAAAAAAGATACATATATTTAGATGGTTCCCAGATGCACTAGATAGCCATGCATATCCCCTCTGACATGAGCCCAAACCACTACAGCACATGTGAGATGTGAAAACATGACATTCCTAAATGAGTTGGTAGATCCCTTCCCTCCACCACACCCACAAAACAGCTCACATTCATAAGCAGAAGAATTTTTCCCTAGTTACCTAGAGATGGACAAAAACATCTTTTGGCTTTTCCAGACTCAATTTTTATGCAAGGAAGTATCTAGCCACACATGCACTGGAAGCTGGAAGCGTAAGCTCTGGTCTTGAGAGCTGCACAGGAACACACCTGCCTTCCAGAGAGCGTCCGCTGGAGAGCAGCTCAGCGTAAGACACACCAGCAGTGTTTGTGGAACAGAAATTAACATGTACAGACAGAAATAAACATGATTCTTTTCTTCTCTCCCTGCCTTTTTTAAGACCTAAGCATCATTTTACAATTTTCTGATTAAAGTTGCTAGTTAACACATACCTTTATGCCCACTGTGAAGTGTTTACAACACTGAGAGCTCAGCAGGGCATTCAGATCCCAAGGGGACTTCTGATATCACAAAATCTAAATGCACCCAGTTACTCCAACACAGTCTCAGCAAAAACTTTAGTACATGAACTAAACCAGTATGCATCAGCAATATCTCCTCCAAACACTTGCTGGCTATCTCCAGTGTTGCACAGCTGTCTTTCATTTGTGTATTACTTTAATTAGAGGTGTACCAGGCCTCTGGTCATGCCTTCACATAGATGTGTGAAATCCTGACCCCAGGAAATTAGTGGCAAAGCTCTCACTGACTGTCAGCATAATATCATCCAAAACACTTTTATTTACAGCAACAAAGACTTGCCGCAAAGTCTCTGTAAAGTCCTGAGGGGAGCAGGAGGTGTTGCAAGCAGCAAATTTGCCATCACAGGAACAGCAAAGCTTTAGCAAGCAAGGATGTTGCCACGGTTCTCAGGTCTGGGCAACCGCAAGTCAGGGTAACTGTATTAAAAAATACAAATCAATCCCTTCTGAACTATTCATTCAGTCACTTCCTGAAGATTTCACTTCTTACAGTAATGTAAATATGCAAATCCAAATTTTTGAGGCTTTAGTCACAGCCACCAACATGATTTGATACTGTGTATCATACCATCATGCCTGCAAGGAAAGGAAATTGCTCGGGACTCAAAAGAAACATACCACCCCCAGCTCTTCTTTAGATACCACAGGGTTGCTATAAGATTTCAAGAAAGACAGCTACCTTCATAATAAACATCCTCAAAAGTTCCTAAGAACAGTACTTGTATGGGAATACTAGCTACAGCCATTCCCACAAGACCTGGACAAAACCACAAGCAGTTTTAGGAAATGGCAGCAAAGATTTTCAGGGCAGGCCATCAGCAAGCACCTGGTACACCAGGCACTCACACTGCCATCCTCACCTATAATTCTTCATTCAGCAAGCACAGAGATAATAACTTATGTGCATAAGCATCAGGTGTTGCCACCAGTACCCCATTTCAATATCAATAGAATCTATTGATTTATGCAGATCTCAGTTTCCCAGCAGACATCCAGAAGGATGCACTGTGCAGACGTATCAACAGGCCCTTCATTAATACAACAAAAAGCTCTGCAATTTGGCCCTGAAGCAAGCACATATTTACTCAGAAGGAAAAAGCAACTATTTACATTTCAAAAGACATCTTCTGTGTTCAGGCCAGTTCAACTGTTTACACCCAAATACTATTATTCAATATTGCCTCAGTTGTGAAGGGCTCCCACAGTTCTGCCTTGCCGTGCTGTCAGCACTGATTGACCCCAGAGAAAGTCCCATTTCAGAGGAAAAAAAAAACCAACCAGACAGAAAGCAGGCAGTGGAGCAGCACAGCTCAGGCTGTGAGTTTAAGAAAGTTTTCATGCTCAGAGAAAAAGTGCAAAGGGATGAGCCACTCACTAAGGTGATTTCAAAAGGAAAACATGCCAAAACTCAGGCAGAGCAAATGAACCCAAGTGCATTCCAGCTAACCCCAGACACAGTCAGCAGTATGCCCCGCTCACATAGACAATACAATTCTACCATCTACCTTTCGGTTTGGGCAAAGCCCAAAGCATTCAGCTCTGCCGCTGCTCAATGCAGGTAAGCTGCTGCCTCCAAGAATTCCTCTCAGAGTTAGTAAATGAAGTACAAAACAAATCTCCAGACTGGGTTTCCCAGCCACTTCTCATGTTTTTCCAATTTCCACTCGAATTTGTTCCACTGCCCAGCCAGTCCCTGGAACCCCTGCTCCAGCTGTCCTTGCTCACCCAGGGCTGGCACAAGAGGAGAAACATTCCTCTCACATAACAGCACTTACAGTCAAACCTTTAGAGAAGCACTCTTTCCAAGCAGCTCTCTCCTTGGCAGACCAGAACTCCTCCATGCTGTAATCCTCCCTTCCTGTTCTACCTGTAATTTGCGGGTTACACATCTGCTTCAAAGCATCTGTCCAGAGCCCAGAAAACACCCAAGAGGTAAAATCCTGACTCTGAAGCATTCCCTGTGCTCACTGCAACAGACCAATCCATGACTCTCCATAAACTCAGATTTTGTGTATTACCAAAAAACCTCACATACACCTTTGTAAAAAGAAAAAGCATTTTACAGCTCATTACTCCAGAGAGCATCAAGCAAGCCACAGTACTACAAAGCGTCTCAGGTCACAGAGTGTGCTGCAAGCCTTTGCTGCTTCTCTGTCCTTGGACACAGGCAAGTCCCCCCACACTGACACTGGGAGAGAAGATGATGTTCTCTGGCAAGGGCTCAGGTCAGAGTCTGGGGCTGACACAGCACCAGCTGCACGCATCTCATATCATGCCTACCACAGCTCCGACTACGGCAGTGAGCTATCAGCCCTATCCCACACAGTTTCTCTCGAACAAACACCAGCACTGCAAACCAAAAGCATCTGCAGGAGCGCTGCTCATTCATTCTCTCTGCACCTCCAATTCCCTCCTGAAGCAAAGCACTGGTGTGGTGCAGATCAACGACTCAAACACACAAGCCACTGCACGGGGTGAGGCAGCACGCATACTGTTTTCTACCAGGTGACCTGATCCTTATAACCCAAAACCTTGCTCTGGAGCCTAAAGTAGAATTTGAATGGCACAACAGGGGTCTGGAAAAGCCCAGGCAGGGCTGTTTTCTTTCTTTTTTTGTTTTTTCCTCCTTTCTAAAACACAAAACTAATAGCATTTACCATGAAAACAATTGAACTGGATCATTGGAAATTCTCTATGAAACAAGCAAGTACCACTGCTCTCACACAAGTTGTTCAATTCTGGTTGCCCCCACCACAATAAGACACTTCAAAATTACACATTAAAAGAAACAAAAATTTGGGCACATCCCTTAGGTAAAGAGATCCCCTACATTTTTTAAATGGATGCATAACTTGATGCTTAAATACTGAAATAAAATGGTGTAAGTTTTAAATAGATTTGGAGTGTTCAGCACAGGCCTCCAAAATCTTAGCAGTGGCAAAGTAGCTGGATGAGCTAATGTTTTGCACTTGTAAGAAGTCCACAGCTGAAAACAAGCTCATTTCTAAGGAGCTTAGATTCACAATCCTGGGACCTCCTCTTCCATAGGAATAGCTTTAAGGATACATACATCATTGACTTGTGGTATAAAAGTAATTTAATCCAATTTAAGATTAACCACAGAATAACTCATCCCCAGAGTGCAACGACAAGGGCAATAGAAACAAAGAAATTACAGAGGCTTTGGGATTGTTGCCCCCCAGAAGTCACCACAGTCTGTATGTACAACACCCAGCAGAGAGAGCACTCCAAGCAGTTTTAAATATCTGAAAGAAGTGAAAGAGACTGGAAAGCACTGAAGTTATCCCAGCCTGAGGGCAGTGAGTGGATTTTGAGCCATGTAATTGTGTGCCATCTGGTCAAGCCCAGACAGAAGAGCTGATAAAGACCAGGAATGCAATGCAGGTCAATATGACTTAGTTCTGTTCAAGGAGCTCTGAAGACTTCTTAAAAACATAAAAAATATTAAAAAAAAACCAGAGCATTGCACTGATTTGATCCCTCAAGTCTCTCTGTAGTGTAATCAAAACCTTCAGCAATTCAGTAAAGTACATGTTAACTAATGACACTTGCAGTATTTGCTGGATTTTAACCTGCTTAGCATGTGACCACAACAGCAGGATTTCAGAGAACTCAACACTGTCCTAGAGAACTGGGACCTGGCATCTGGAAACAGTGGATTACACAGCCATGTGAACTCTGTCAAATTCATAGACACGTTTTACAGAATTTTGCTTTAAAGCTCAATTACACTTTTGTGGAAGACAACTGATCTGCATTTAGGATTAATTCCAGAAGTGTTACCAGAGATGTGAGCAATACAACAAGCAAGGAACAGAAGCGTCCAGGGGGACATTCTGGAGCTCGGTAATCCTTCCTGGAGCAAAGGAAATTCAGGAGGGACGCACTTCGGTCACACAGGCCTTCAAGCACCAAGACAATAACCAATCACAAGAGGCTGAAGAAATCCACGGTACCTAAGGCAGGTTGCCACTGACTAAGCACTAGCCATACCATCCCAAACACACTTGCATCTCCTGTGCAAGTCGGACTTTCCCATCCTAAAGGCAAGCATGTGAAACATGGCGGTACTATGGGAGCACTTGGCTTTCACAAACTTTCTGTAACTTAAAGAGTAGCTCCAATCTGTTCCAGCACCTATGTGCACTATTAACTGGAGAATTAAGTGAAATTTTGTGCGGTTTTGTACACAATCAGTGTTCCCTACTAAGAATTCCCACGATCTCACCTTCACTCTTGCTTCCCATGTAATCTGAAAAAGAAATCACAAGCCTTCATGCGTGTAAAAATTTCTCTAACTTTTAAGCTACTGAAGTTTGTTCTCAGGTTAAAATATGCACATTCTCCCAGCTAAAGGAAACTGTGCTGTCAGATCTGTCTGTGCGTCCTGAACTCACTTCCTGCCTGGGCAGCACCACCACTTCCTCTATGAGGCAGGACTGAAACTGCTGCCATTTCATCACTAGGACTGGCTACCTTGGCTCACTGCAAGCTACTGCCAACTAAGAACCAATTTGTGGTGCTCTCTGGGATACACCATTAGCATAAGAGTTGAACCTTAACCAGTCAATCACAGCTTCCAGATCCTGTTTGAGCACCTGCTCCTCATTCAAAGAAAACAAGCAGCCATTTCTGAAAACTAAGATTTTTTTTCCCCCATCCAATATCATTTTACAGTTAACAGTTTATTCATCCAACTCAATGCACTCAAGGAGTCCACAATGACAGGAACAATATTCACAGGATTTTATTCATTATTTCAGGTAACTACTTTTGCCCTTCCATGGTAGTTTCATTTCATATCCTGTAAAACCACACAGTTCTAAACAAAGTCCTTCTTTGTACTTGATAATTTCTTCCCAAATTAATCTAATCCATTTCAAGGTCCTTACCCTCAGCCACCTCCTCTAGACCTACTACAAACACTTTTGCTTTTCAAAGTGACAAATCTCTGCAGTCACAGGGGCACCAAGGAGAGGTACTTGGCTGCTACAATCCCAGCAACCTGATTTGCCTCACCAGAGATACCTGCCAGCATTACATGGAAGAGGCACTCTATGCCTATATTACAAACACTACATGCAAAGGTTACCACATACAACACACTGTTTCCCTGCAGAGATCCCAAGCCATTAACGAAGGGACCACATGAGCTCAGCTGCCAACCACACAGGGAGAAGACCTTGGACCTCTTGGTACAGTCACAAACCTGTGATGTAAAACACAAACAGAAGCCGGAGTTAACTATAGAAGGACAAACTGGCACAGAAAGCAAAACTGGTTTTAAGAGTAGTATCACTATGGCCAGAATTCTCCTCTGCACGTGTGCAGCAACCTATCTAAAGACACAATGAAAATCCTCCAACCCAAAGCCCACCCCTTCCAGCTTGCTAGGAATCATCTTCATGAAGATCTCGCCCCAGAACTAAACACATCTGCCACTTCTACGCTAGTAAAGTGGTAAATGCTAGTAAAATGACATATAAAGGAATATATTAGGTTCTAAACTACCTGGTGCCCAAGCTCAACTGCCCATCCTGCCCAGAGCTTAGGCTGCTGCAGACACTTAATCTCTATACACAAACACACTTGTTACCAGAGGTTCCAAGTCAAGCTTATCACCTGGGTCTTTAGTTTCTTAGGTGAGGCTTAAGGCAGCTGTTGAACTACAAACCAGCACAGAACTGGAGTTCCACTCCTCTAGAACAAGGGAATCGTGAAATCCAAGCTAAAACCTGCAAAAGCACAAGGGACGGACTTGAGACACAATCTTGTACTCCATTACTTCAGGATCTTGAAAAGGCTATCCTGCTTTAAGCACTGTTTTGGGATTAACTATCACTAACAGATCAGACACAATCTTTTAAATACTACCAGTTCTCCCTGCAGAGTACAAATTCTGTCTCCAAAAACCAGTGTTGCTGTTTACCTTGTAAGTGTGTCTAATTACAAGACAGAGGCACAAAAGTTCAGTTGCACTAGAAGCTTTGTCAAGATAAACACAAGAATTCAGGTAAAGACCTGGATTTGCAGTGGGTGGGTTTTTATCTGAAGTTGAAGAGAACAACAGCAGCAGAGCATAGTGCATGGCTCCATCTACATGCCTGCTCACATCAACAGTCTCAACCTGCTGTTGGATGTCAGCATGAGAAATTTGTGGGCAGGCACACAAAAACACGCAGTGGGAAGAGCCACAGGATCACCATCACCAACAGAGCTGGATCAATACCATGACAGCCCTGGTTTATCTCACAGGTTCCTGTTGCTCTTGAAACCCACAAAGTTTGCTATCATCACAGGAATCCCTTTTGGAAGATAAAGCATGTGTCTGAGGTCCTCGAGCATCCCTTAATCTGCAGATTAATGGACTCAACAGAGTCTGTATACCCCAGCACCTCTGCAGGTTTGAAGTCCCCTTTCTGGACAAAGTACCATGAATTGCCAAAGAAGCAGTAAGAGATCTCTTCTCAAAAAGGCAACTATCATAGAGCTATCATAGAATAGAACAGAATATGCTGAGTTGGAAGGGACCTCACTGTTTGAGGTCAACTGATATTTTCTATACTTAATGCAATTTTCTCTCTCTAATTCTGCAATATTTGAGAGCTACTTTGCACATCTTCCTAAAGACTCCTCACAACCGCCTGGTACATGCACACAAAACAGGAAGTGAAGACAGTTGGGCAGGGGAATTTGAACAGCCTGAGCCCAAACTACCAGCAGCACTATAACACACATTCCAAGTTTTGCAACTGCATAAAAAAGAAGAAGAAAAACATGTCATCCCATTTTAGCCCTAAATTCAAAACCAGAAAGCTGACCAGCTAGATAGTGTGACTCAGCAGGCTCTGCTGCCATATCAGTTACACTGCAGCACAGCTGTGCCTGCACCTCCTTAGCCACAGGTTCTGCCCACTATCCCACTTCAAGGCTCCAAGCAACCACCTTCAACTGAACATAAACTCCACAGGAAAAAAGTGACAACTTTCCCATTATCACAAAGTGACAACTTTCCCATTATCACTCAGGTTAAGGTTACGCTGTCAAAAGTAGCATCACCACTGGAAAAACCTGCCCCAGATTAAGCACTGGGATGTGTGTGGGGGTTACATTAAGTCCTTTTCTGCCAAAGGCATTTTAATCTTATCTTACTACTCTTCACTTTCACACTCTAAAGGAGGCTGTATTCCTCAACCATGCAACAAAATCCCGTTCAATATTTTATTACCACTTAAAAACCCCTATTTTCACTAACTTTGTTGCATACTGATAATATTTAAAAGTACAAGCTGCACCTACACTCTTATTTGAACACAGCATCCAACCAAGGCCCACATGGCCCTGATGGTTCTCCCCACTTTCCCGTGGCCAGCTACATTCAACAGAGTTGGAAAAGATATTGGGAGAAGTTCCTGTATTTTGAGGCATGTTTTCCTTCATGAGAAGCACCCTGTCTTGCACACTGCAGCAGATCCTGCTTACCCCTGTTTTGCTCAGGGAACAGGACAGCTGCAGGTCCTCCATGCACACAAACAGAAAGAAAGTTCCCGGGAAGACACACTGTGTTCAGGGAGAATAGCTCAGGCTGTGGACCAACATGCTGTCTGAAGACTCCAAAGATAAAGCCTGGTTAAAAAACACTGCAAAAGCAACTTTATCCAGATACTGAGCTATCCTGGATTGCTGTTTAAATAAAGTAGCTGGAAGGCTCACCAACACCATGACAGCAGCAGGGGAGCTGCCCTGCATTCACCTAACCAACAGAAGGAACCAGAGCAGCTGGAACCACCCCACTTCACCGAGCCCAAGATGAGCCCCAGCAGCCCTGTCCTCAGGACCTGCTGGGCAACTGGCACTTATTCAGCTATCGCCAGATGCACAAGCGGCTCAAAGTAACAGCATTCCAGGACATGGGAGACTCAGCAACACCGCACATGCACTAAACCCCCAAGTACCACTGAACACAAGGTAACTGCTCCAACACACTGATGCAGTCAGATCCAGGCCCCACACAAGCCCCTCAGCATTCAGCTGTTCCCCAGCTGCTCTCTGGTGCACACAGTCATCCAGCTCATCAAGTGGCAGAGGCCTTCCTGACTTGCATGCAAAGCTGCAGGAGCATTTTTGTCATTATTTCCCCAAACAGAACACTCATCATTGGCCAGAAACACAGCACAGTATCCTTCAACTTGAGACGAGCTGAGCAATTCAAACCAGCTTGCTCCAAAGCAAGACAGTTCTGGCAGTCTCAGCTACTGCTGTGAGTCTAGCAACACACGCCACAGCAATCCTCTGCAGCTCCCCCAGGGTCTCTACTGGTCCCAGCCCACAGCAGCCTAAGGCTTGCTCTAACACCCCCTCAGCTTGGTGAAAACCTTCACCTGCCAGAGTTTGGTCTATGCTGGAAAACACAGGCGGATGTGTCTTCCCATGCAATCTCATCACAGGCATGGACAACTTGGCAAAAATGTAGCTGGAAGCACCTACAGGAGACAGGTAATATCTCACCAGACAAAGGCCCCAAGGAAACCCCCATGTTACTTTACTAAAAAAGCTTCTGTATTTTTTCATGAAACAAGAAAATGGTGCATGGACCAACTCTCCTGGTAGGAATTATGCCATGACACTCTAAAGTAATGGGGTGAACTGGCAGCACAAGAGCTTAAAACATAATAACAGCTTTTAAAAGCTTTTCAAAACAAATTCTTTGTTTTCTCTTTATAAAATATCACTTGTTTGGAAGAAAAATCAACATTTTCAAGGAAAGAACAGCTGCTTACTGAAAACAGGTCAATTAGTATTTTGAAGTTTTACAACTCTTTAGGTCAGAGTCATTCTCTGAAACTCCAAGGGGAGATTACAAAGATTAATTATACAAACTCTGCTTCTTGTTCTCACTGTTTGCAGTTTTTTCCACACCCAGGGCCAGGTAACCAAACCCAGTTCATCCACTCAAAAGCAACCTAAAGGATCCCCCACAAGAAGATGGAAATTACCTGCCTCAATGCCATTCCTGTCACTCACCTCAAGTACTGACATACACACCGTGGGCTGCAAGAGGCAGCTGACCACTGTGCTGGGGTGGCCCAACATCCTCAGGGAGGGAGAGCTTTTGTACCAGGCTTCAACCCTTGCAGAAACTCTGGAGAAAGGGATTTCTTTACCTACCACTCCTAGTGGCAGTCCTTCCTGATGGATATACACTTAGTTTGTATAGTGTACAACCACAATAAAGTGTAAAGTGTAGGGTCTGGAGGAAGCCAGATAATTAAATGGTGACAGGCTGCAGAAATGCAAAGATACTTAGAATTTCTTTGAAAATTTTGCATAAAAGCTTATCTGGTCAATAAGTTGCTTTATTTGTCATATATTAACAAGGGTGCTTTCACCTACATTTAATGTAAGGGAGTGAAAGGAGCCAAGGAAGAAGACTAAGTGGTTAAAGAGGGCTTCTTGCTACCTGAAGCACCAGAAACCAATTTTACTTCCATTTGATTTGACAGAACTTTTATTTTCTGAAATTAAAAAGATGTCATTCTTTTCTTAGCAAAGAATATTTTCCTAAAGGACAAAGATAACTACACCCCCTACAATTCCTCCTGTCTCTTGTTCCAGAAACTAGTATCATAAATTCATGATGGTGTCAAAGGCCAGCAGGAGAGCTCGGCTGACCACAAAGAGCAGGCAGAGGAATGAGCACACACAAGCCCACAGACAACTTTCAAAGCTGAGAGCCTCACAGCATCAAGCAGATTACACACACCTCACCTGTAACATCTTACATAAACTCCAGCTGTAGTGCTGTTATTTATATTATATATATATAATATAAATATATGTTATAATAAAAAAGTTTGTTTATTGTCCAAGTCTTCCGGAGCTAACAGCAGAGCTGGAACCCAGCTACACCAACCCCTCCATGGTAACAAGAGAGTGACTGAAAAGGTTTTAATTGTAAGGTCCAGCTATCTATGCTCATAAGACATGGAAAATTATTTTAGTACTACAGCACCATTTTAACCAAAAAGTCAAACTTTACATCAAGATTAGTGGCCAGCTTCATGCTACACCTTCCATCAGCCACACACACGGTTTAGAGCAAGGAAAGCCCACTGCACACTTATGAGAGAAATCCCTGGGAGTTTCACAGGGGCTCCATTTCTGTTTACTGCTGGTTTTTAGCAGAACAACAGTTTCCGACAATTTTCCTTTTAGGTACTTCACGCTCTAGAGCTTCCAGAGCTTTTCTATTTAAACAGTAAAAACATCACGAACTCCCCAGCCTGACCATCAGTTTTGGGCAAACAAACAATTCTAAAGCAGAGCACTTAATGAATTCAGAGCATCAGTTGCAGGTCATGAATAACCAAGTTCAAAGTATGCAAATCTAGTGATTAAAATTTCTGCCTAGGATATGTTACCGAAGTGAAAACATGTTTTATCTTGCACCACAGTAATTTTTTATTCCTTGCCAAGACTTTTTTTGTTACTGAAGCATAAATGAGAACTGTTTAAACACCAAATCATTTTTACAGTCAGCAATATACTCATTCAAAACTTACATGCATGTCTAAGACCTGACTCAAAAACACACTTGCCTATACTATCTTCCTCAGAACCTTACATTAACAAGACTTTACAAAGCAGAAGTTTACAACAGAAGGGAAGTTTACAACAGCTTCCCCACATACAACCAGCTGAATATAATTTGCTT